CTTGGAGTAGACTGAGGACTTGTTCAGGTTGCCTGTTGTGTTGCTTGTGTTTGTTTGTTTGTAATTCCCCACGGTCGCACTTATAACTCTTAGATAAAGTATCACCCTTTTTAAAATGGTTTGTTGTTTCTAGAAGCGATGTAGGGGAATTTGTGCACTTCTTTTAGTAGTATATTTGAAGTTAAAATGTTATGCAAGAGGTTTCTTCATTTGTTTGAAAAAATTTGTGACATATTTGTCACTTGCAATCAAATATCCTACTGGTATTAGCGTGCTAAATCACGGTAAGCAAGAAAGCTTGCAATGGCCTTTATATTTTACTTTCAACCTACAAAGTTTAGCTATACTATATAGGCCACCAAATTCTTTAACGGATCCGGAATGATGCAGCAGCGACTGATCTTAGACTCCAGCATGTAATGAACTCCCAGTGAGTTGAGTAGCGGAAAACATACTTACTTAAATACTTAATAGCCCGTCTTCACTCGTCGTGCAAGTCCCAACACTGTTTACATTCGCTTCTCTCTCTCGTTAGCGTCATCCATGATGTTGGTTTTGAGCCGCGGCGGCGACGTTCGCGAGGTCCAGATCCATTGGACCTTACCAGCTGAGATTTCAGCTGGTCCATCCGTACTATGCAACGAACAGTTCAGCCTGAATCGCGAGTCATTGATCTCATATCTGAACTGCGAAGTCCGACGAGATGTTGAGTGCATCGGTTGTACTTCAGAAGACGTTTGTGGGTTGTTCGAAGAGCCTTTGACGTAGCCACAGTGTCGGGCCATGTCTCTGCTGCGTAATAGAGCACAGGGAGTACGAATCACAGGTGGACTCGGAGTTCTGGGTCCACCAGCTGGCCTGTGGCTTCTTTAGGGGGCCCGAAAGCGGTACCGGCTGCTCTTTGCCTCCTTTTAGTTCTTCTTCCAGATCGTTCTCCGTGTTCCCTGAACGCCCTAGATATACTTAAGAAGACGACTCCGCGATTGAAAGGCCTTCTTCAAAATCCTGATTTTCGCAAAGCGTTCTTCATGAACTGAGCTCCCGTTTGATTCGCAGTGCTATCTGCTTCCCTACTTCGTTTAGGTTTTAGCTTCAGTGATATTCCTCGGAAAAAGAACAATGTCGTTCAACTCGTATTGCTCTCTCGTTCAATCCATTTCATCAACCACTGCAAAGAGGCGATAAACAGCTTTGGCAAACCCCCTTTGAATTTGGCATGTTAAGGGGGCGATGGAAAAGCTGTACAGTTGTAAAGCAGTTCTTATAGCAGTCGGCCAATGTCCTCACGTAAGATGAGTCCACCTCTTCGTCGACGAGCGCTGATAGCATGGTAGTCTCAACGCTGTCAAACGCTCTCATAGTCGACAAAACCTCTATGCTTAAAAGTCCTTGCGAAATTTGCTTGTTTCAAAATTGGGCCCACTATCCTTGATATCCGAGTGAGAAGAATCTTTGTAAAGAGCTTGTAAAGCACGCTCAGCAGGCATATTGAACGGCAGTTCCGAAGATCCTCCCTATCGTCCTTCTGAAGGAGGATTGTTCGGGAGGTTCTCCACTGGTCGGGGATCCTTTCCTTTTGAAGGTAAAACGTTAGATGTTCCGCAATATCTCGTGTAGGCGATGTCCTACAGCTCGTAAGAGGTCGGCCGAAGCATGGTCCGGTCCCGGAGCTGTGGCTGCCTTCATGGTCTTAATTGCGGCGCGTACTTCAGCAGGTAGAATCC